CGATAATAACGATAGCAAATTACATAGTACACACGACATTGCCTAAAAGTATCAAACCATTTATTTTCTTCAAAGATCTACTATTCGTAATCGACAGTAAAAAACGCCGATTAACACTTCTTCCTATACTAGATAAGAATAGATTTTAATGTAAGCGATACCCAGAGCTTTTTCTTGATCGATTAAAATTTATTAAGAATAGCCAGTCCCAATTGTACATGGCACAACATGGTCACACTTTAGTGATAGTTTTTATTTTTATATAACTGAAGAGAGTATTCACACGAACATAATTTTAGCGTAATTTGCGAAGCGGTACTATGGCATCTGATATGTACGGAGAAGTCTTATTATACCAATGTATTATACGTGTATATAAAGAATATTTCATACTTGTAATTGTATGTATAAAATACATAATAAATGTCATATATATGAAATCCACGCGTGAGCAATAATTAATCCCAAATGCTACGAATAATTATAATATTGTATAAAATTGCCTATACTTTAACTTATACTCCGATTCTCGAAGAGTTTATAATTTATTTAGAATTAACAACTATCTGTAAAAAACATCTATTACTTTTGAAAAAGAGGATGTATATGCAATGAATAATTCAAAACCTTCCATTTTCAGATTGTCAAGTAATAATTATATGATTTTAATATATTAAATCTAATTTATATTGATTATATTTCTTTAAGACTACAAGAGAGTACCTATAGTATTTTTCTCATACCTTTTATGTCAATTTTAATAATAATGAACAAATTCCTTCTACAAAATTATTAATCAGTTTGTAATTAAAATTTAATTAGCCGTCTTTCAAGATGTTCGAGAAAAATTGTCACAATCGTTAAAATAAATATTTCGATGAGGAGTGAGAGTTGGGATATGCCATTCATTACATCGCGAATAGAATTATTAGGAAAGTATATTTGAAAAGAGCAAGCAGGTGGCAGCGATGGGCGTTGATTTATTTTATTATTTAAAGCACTTTATTTGAAATATAAAGAATATATATAGAACATAGAACATTCAGAAATATATAGGATATTCAGATCTCAAATATTTTCTTCTTTCAACAAAGACATCATCGTCCTGTTAGTATTTTTCCGAATTCTGAGTATATGTTTAAGGGTACATTTTTAGTACGTTCATATACCCATAACTTTTTTTCCAAATAATTTAGAAGGTCTGATTGTACTAATCGACATGCCGCATCACGTTCCCATCTTATTACGCTGAGTGCTTCTTTACTTATAGATCGTTCCGCAACAGCCTCTAAAGCAATGGATGTCAATTCCTTGATATTCTTGTTTTGGACGGTATCGTTCTTCCTCAATGACCTCAGTAGTTCTATTATGTCTGTTTCAATGAGTTTTTCAGCAAAGTCTTCCATGCTTTTTATCATACTTAGCACAAGTATAATACCCATTTGTTGTATGTTGCTGCTTGGATTAGTGAGTAAAAAGCGTAGGAATTCTAACCAGAAATTCGAGTCCAAAACTTTCTTACAAGCTTCTTTGTTGGCCACCGTCAGTTTCACTAGAGCTGCAGCTGCTGCAAAATTAATATCTTGATTCTCGTCCTTGTACAATAACATAAGATAATCTACTCGAGAATTATTCTGCTCGAAACACTGGATAGCGACTTCACGGCTTAATATCATAATGTTTATAAGATTTGCAGACGCCAATTTCAAAAGATAGTCCCCCTCGTACACAAAGGCATCAATCTTCTGAAATACTCCTTCTTTGAACATATGTTCTCGGATGCTGTCGTTGACTTCAGCTAGATTGCACAAAGCTGTTAGAGTCTGGCAATTCTCATTAACGGAACACTCCAGGTTCAGAAGATTTACGATCGGTTGAACAAACTCCATGAGTAGTTGAGCGGAAACTATATTATCAGCATCAGGGAAAATACTCTTCGTGAGTGCCAAATGGACCAGGGCTAGCGAAGCCTGCTTTTTTCCCTTGACTGTGCCATCCAGCGCCAACGACAACAATGTTTCCGGCACGACAGCCGGAGCAACTACATCTACCAATATCTGTTTACTGCATATCGCGTTGAAAACGCGCGCTATCAATTCCTTGCAGTTCTGATCGTCCGTTTTAGCGAGTTCCAACAGATAGGTGATCACATCGTAATCTATTAATAAGTTGATCAATCCTTCTTCGAAGTCGTCGTCCAATTCAGATTCCTCGGGAAAATGATATTTGACAAACTTTGACAATTCTATCATCTCGAATTCTTGCTCGTCATAAGCGTTGCACAAGTTCATCAACGTCGTAAGCATGTCAAAGAGAGATTGATCATGAGTGGATGGATCATCGGCGATATCGATCATCGTTTCAATGACTTCTAGATTCTCGATCAACTCCTGTTTGACTCCGGTGTTGAAAGTCAGATACGACAGACCTTTTACGGCCCACTCTCTATTTTCTTTCTTTAGATTAATCAACAATCGTCTGCAAGCCTCGGTCAATTCCTTGGTCACTCCATCCGCGAACGGTGTGGTAGTCGCGTCTGAGTCTCCGGAATTACCCATCTTGCAAAAAGCCACTAACGCTCGAACCCGAAGTGAATCATCTTGAGATTGACACAGTTTTTTTAATATATTAACACCTTGTTTTATGATCACGTCGACCTTGTCTTTTCTGGTCACAGCGGCTACGATACATTCGAGAGCCACTCTCTGCTGCAATACATCATCCATTCCCGCCATAACGAGGATCATCTCTAAAATTCCTTCTTTAACCATAAATGTGTTTCCAACATCTAACGGGCTCAATAATAAGGTTGTTATCGCAACTACTACACGCACCTGTAAAACAATCGATTGACAATTTATTAATTTTTACGTTTCGTGAAACAATATTGATTTAAAATGAAGGAAGTTACAGTGTTATTATTTAGTTTTGATAGAAAATAGGAGAAATTTCTTGTAAATTACGCTTCAGAAAATACTACAAATGGCAAAGTCGTATTCTTCAGTAAGTTTCGATTAAACTCTGATATAATCGTATTTTAATTTAAAACTTACAGAATATATACAATATCAACAATTTAAAAAAATCTTTAACATTTTTGCTTTAAAAAGTTTAAATTGCTCAAATAGACTATGTTAAAAAAAAGATACTCGGCTTTTTATTTTGAAACAATTTAAATGATAAAAAAAGATCGAAAGTTACAAAATTCATACTTTAGATTGTATGTCAGGCGAATGCAATTTATCTTCAATAAATTCATCAACGGCATTGGTAAATGTTTTCTCATCATCACAGTTCTTATACACGTTTTTATATACCATTGCTAAGCACACACTGGTTATAGTTCGCGTAGAAGACGTGATGTCTAGCAAAGATTCAGAATTGTATTCCTCCATTTCACCGGCTACCTCCATCAATCTTTGCACACCGCGAAGTTCGACAAATCGTTTGGCCCAGTCTAACGCAGTATAATGAATGTTATGCGTAATAAGTTTTATTATTGCGTCTCTAGCAAGGCCTGTTATCGTTCTACTCGTTATACTGTACGACAAGCAGAACATAATCGTGTCTATTTCCTTCTTATGCGCCTCATATAAATCCTCGTTACGATTTGAATCAGGTTTATTATTATTCATGCCGCTGTAAGTGTTCAATATATTCTGAAACAAAAATATGCAATAAATTTGTAATTACTGAAATACATGTATAATTACACGTATCTTACTCGATATTTACCTGTAAACAATATTGAGACGCGTTAACTCTCTCTATAGATGTGCTGCTCATTATTTCCAGGAACCAAGGCAAACCGACGTATTTCATAACGGACTCAGTTCGACTAATATTGTTTTTGCATAACTCGGTTACAATACGAATCGCTCTGCAGATCACTTCCTCGTTCTTTTCCACTTTCACAAGGTGAACCATTTTGGATATACCTTCCTTTTTGAAGATCTCCTCGGCACCAGCGTCGTCACCCGCGAGCAAAAGCAGTTTACTCATAGCGATTTCACGTTCCTTCTCATTTGTGTTCTCGTCAAATGCTAGATCCAGCACTTCTGATACCTAATACAAAGCAAAATTAAAGCGTATACTTAAATATAATAATCTGCAATAAAAATGTAAATAATTGTGACATTATATGATGTAATTTTTATCCGTATAGTGTGCAGACTATTAATTAACATGAATTAATAATTATGTAATAAAAGACAAATACTCAAATCTATTTGTCAAATTATGTATGATATTGAAACAAAAACGCTTACTAATACTTACATCAAGTATGAAAAATGTATTTCATTTTTATTCTCTTATCTAGATTAAATTATCATGTTTTGCAAGTTGACGAACTTTTGTAATAGTTATGTATATTTACCTGGGCATTAATATGTAACTTTCTCTTACGACGTTCTTGTACAATTTTACGTAAGTGGTCCACTACGCGTTGAAAATCTTCGTTATTAGGATTTAATGCAATAAGAATCTCTGCATCCTGATATGCCTCCTCGAATCTTTCTAACGCTTCTAGTGCTTTACATCTTTGTAACAATGCTTCGCTACAACATATCTTTAACGCACTATTGCAGTCATTAATAACTTTCTCGTAATTGCTCAGCTGTAAATAAATATCAGCTCTATTTCTGTAGAGACATGCTTTTTCAGCTTTGTCCTCTGTTAGTTTCAGTGCGTTTGAGTAGTAACTCAATGCTTCTGACAAATTGCCTTTTCTAGACTCTTCGCAACCCTTGTGCTTCCACTCCTGTGCACTCATATCTGACTCTGCCATGATGGAATAACTCTACAACACAAATTATATGATGTTACATTATATGTTTTAACATAGAAAGAGTCTGACACTTAATACTATATCTCTTGATACATGTATTATCTTAAACACAAAAGGCATAATTATTACTAAATAATTATATGCATGTATGAGACAATGGGCCTGTTTATCTTTCCTTTTTTCCTTTTCACATTAGAAAGAAAAAGAGAAAAAATGAACTGTACAAGTTCAGCTGAAACAAACAGGCCTAATACATGTATAATG